AGTACACAAGTCATCTATAGGTTTAATTAGAGACTTTCAAAAAAAAAAAAAAAAAAAAAAATAAAAATAAATCGTGCCATTTATATACTCGCCGCGAGGAAATAAACCATATTACGTATTACTAAACATAATCACATTTTGACGGAACTGAATAATATAAAAATACATCTTAATCGACACACACGTTTTGTAAGATATAATTTTAATATTCAATACTATTTAATTTTCTATTTATTCAAATAATCATATAAGACTTGCACGATGAAAGATTTACTTTGCTCGATTGTAGAGGGAATTAAATAAATGAATTTTTTTTATATTTCTTATATTTACATCCACTGAGAATATATCCATCTTCGTTATTCGTGTATACTCCTTGAAATTTCTCACTTGAAAAATCTCTTTCAATAGTTAATTACAGGTTTTGTCAATGTAAACGTCCGACATGAAAATGCTTTCGATTTCCTTACTTGGAAACATTCCTTTCTAAGATATAGAAAAATCATGACCGATACATTATTCAAAACATGTACCACTACATAATCCAAGTTTCATAGCGAAGTGAGCAACAGTATTTGGTTGAAATACATTTTTATTTTTATAACACACAATTCCTAATTATATGATTGATAAGATGCAGCTTTAGAAGGCCAAGGAGATGGCTAATGACAAAAATTATTAGATTGTCATATCATTTATAGCGTTGTTGAACAAAGTACTTATAAATTATATATCTACTTCACCACTGACCAGTACGTAAAATTTCAAAAGAATGTTTAACATAAATTATATTTAATGGGTATCGTAAATTATATTACATTACTATTGAAATTTGAATAAATTAAAAACACTTAGTTTTCACATAAATATTTAGAATATAAACGATTTTACGATCAGCTTTAAAAACAATTCGAATCGATAGATTAAATCGATAGAAGGAGAAAAAAAAATTATAGAAATTCTCGTGCGTACTATAATACATCGAAATAGATGACTACCGCGTTTTAATCAAATCTTTATTAATACTAGATAATTCGTATAAATTTTTCGTAGATTAAATTGCACATCACTAACAGTTACTTTTATAATACAAAATACATTTAACTTCATTCCGTTAGTTGTAAAACATTTGATTTAGTTAATATAATTTGTCAGTATAGATGATTGATTAATATGCATGCACATATAATGTCTTTACAATTGTATAAAGCATAAATTTTCCTTATAATTTTTTTAATAAATGATTTTAAAAATATATGAATAATTAAAATTGGAAGTTCTTGCTATTAGTAATTAGCATGGTAAAAGTTTCAGTGAGAAAAATTTGTCCAAGTGCTTAAGAATGTCTATTAAGTATTTCTAATCAAGGTTAAGTAAAAATAGTAAATGTCATAATAGAAAACTTTAAATAATAACCTATTATTCTTAATATTATTATTACTATTATTATTATTATTATTATTTTTTTTTCTTTATTTTTTTTTTTTTTTTTTTTTTTTTTTTTTTTTTTTTTTTTATCGACTATTAAACTTAAAGAATGCTACGCAGAACTATTAATAAATTCCGGAAAAATAAATTATTGAATTTAAATTATTTGAAAAGTTTCTAAAAATAATGTACGGAAAGATAAATATAGTATCACATTTATTTTATTAGTAACTGATATTATTTTATGAATAGATTTTTAATGTAATGCTTTTCTTCCTAATCTCATTGTTTTTAAGTAGCTCGCCCATTTAAATATCTATCTGTATTATATGGATTTTCTGATTTTTATTTCTAATGAAAGTATAAAGATAAAATTCAAATTGTAATTAATATAATGTAAATATTTATACTTATTAAGTGTATAAAAATCTTTTGTAAATATTTTCTTTGTTTCAAATGTCACTTTCAATCCGTTTAAGTGCAATAATCCATTTTGTTGTAAAGTCACATTGCAAGTAGCAGTAGAGATTCTATAGCAGTAAAAGTTATTGTCTAGTCATTGTAGAGCAAATAAAAACCAAATTTTTTTATTTATTCCCCCCCCCCTCTCCCCATACCAAAGCATACAACTATTAAAAACGACTTTCTTCTTCTTTTTAAATGCATTGACATGTTTAGCTATGCATATTCAAAATATTTTACAATCTACAATACATACTTAAGAAAATTTAATTTTAACGATGTTTTTAAAACTATAAAACATATAATTTGGAGAACAAAGTGTTTATATCTCATTAAAGCTATAAACACTTAGCTAAGAGCAAAGATTTCTTAAATGAGAGAGCCTTGGCTGCAGCATCTAATAAATATTATTAATAATTGGTAACCTATTGGAAGTACCTTCTGGCCATTTATCGCACCTTAAAGAAGAGTGTAACCAAGAAAGAGTATGTAACTAAAACAGATTTGAAGTTTTTGTAAATTAATATTAACTGACCTAAGCGCTTCGATTTATCACTTTGTTCGATAATCTTATCATTAAAAGTTTTATAATTCTATAATTAAGAAATTAAATATATACACAGATCGAAATGAAAAAATCAAATAATTTTATTTTTCCTTATATTGAAAATTCTTTTATCTCATCTTACTCTTGAATTTGAATTTATATCGTTTCAAGAGCAATAAGGAATTTCTAAGATATCTTTTATCTCAGCGAACATTCTCGGAAGACCTTTATTGTACTCAATACTTTATAGTTGATGCAATCAATAGTTTTAGTTAGTTCAATCAATAGTTAATTCAAATGTTCGTAAAATTAATAAAATTTTGTTTAGCTTAATAGGACCATTTTTTGAATATATTTATCTTTAGCTCTCTTATCAGACGAAGATTACTGTAATAACTAAACTTAATGTTTCTTATTCAAAAGTGCATGACTCAGATATTTCGTAATAAAGTGTACCGATGAAAGATTTGGAAAAAAGTTTTACAATGCTTTTCGACTCAAGCCACAATGATGTAATTATTTATTATGTTAAATTAATCTGCTAGAATAAAGTATGCTCTCTGTTGTTATTTAATCACATAAACAAAAAATCTAATGCTATCCGCCAGTAAGAATTTGTAAAATTTCATATTTCCATTACCTTTTATTTTTTGCTATATGATATGTTGAACCGAATTTTTTTTCTTTTCATTTCTTATAATATCGTGGAAGTATATTTAATTACTTTCATCATTACGAAATCCAAGTGAAATATTGGCTTATAAATATGTTTATATTACAAATTTATACACTTTAACATGCATATGAAATTATCAAATATTGTTAAGAGACTTACGAATCTTGCATAATTCTATGCAATTATCATTCAAACGTGAGTCATCTGCTTCAAACTTTAATCTAGTTTTATTAAATTAAATTAGATTTTATTAGATTCGTAAATGTTCTACTTTCGAAATAATTGTTTATAATTATCATTTATATGGTATTTCCGCTGAGCTTTAATGTCAAGCAAATATCATTGTCAATATAAAAAAACAAGAACACGATTTTTTTTTTTTTTTTATAATTTTTTACCACCATTCGTACTTTCATTAATTAAATATATTTTTGCTATGTCTCGACTTTCTATCCTGTTTTTAAAATAATTTGTATATAGCTTATGGCATAAAAATTGTAAATCAACACCAAATAACAGAAAGGAAAAAGATCCGTGCGGTTGCAGTTTTTTTAGCAATGCTGATATATTTAAATTTTAATACCTCCTAGCCTTGATGATAGAATTTGTATTTATATATTTTTTCTCTCTCTCTCTCTCTCTCTTTTTTTTTTTTTTTTTTTCTTTTTTTTTTTTTTTTTTTTTTTTTGTTCTTGATATCTGAGTAAACGTATTCAAATAATTCGAATAATATCAAGACTTGGCAAAACAATATGCTTATTAATATGATTTTTAATACAGTATATTCTCAATTTTCTTGTCCATAATAGGGAATAAATAAGCTTGATTATAATTCGCATTCGTTTGCATATATTTTACATATAATTATAATATTGTATATGTTATATAGTTTTATACTATCTGCCATAGAATATTAGATTTTTTCTTTTCCAGTCTCTTTGAGTTTCATTCATTGTGTAATATTAATTATATTATTATTACGAACGAATATTATTATAATGATAAGTAGCGATTTTTCCCTTATCAACAATAATTGAATATCACGCGTATTTCGAAATATCGCCAATTTTTTTATTTTATTACTTAATTTTTAATAATTCCAATAGATATTGTGTTTGTATTCGTCACTGAGTAGCGTCAGAAGTAGTTTCTGGAAGGTTCGATTGTTACAAGTTTAAGCGCGTTCACTTGTAAAGGATTCATAAAGATATTCCAAAAAAAATCAAATTATTCATGTAAATCCAGTTAGTCGTCAAATGCTTAGCATATAATTACTATTTAGTGATTAAGCAATTGTACATGTGTAATTATGAAATTGTGATTTTCAAATATTAAGAATTACTAATTTGTGTGACTTTACGAGAATGATCGCGCTTCGGCGCGATACGAAAATTTATCACTTTCGAATACGTATTCTACGCTCTAGAATTATCGAGAAGTATCGTGAAACATATTCTTCGACTAAAGTGGAAGAAGAATAACGTGCGGAACATCGAGGACAGTTAAATTAGAAAAATAGTTGAAGTTTTTACATACCTTTTGTAATTTCAGTAACTATTCTCATTTTTCGCAGACGCGAACGGAAAAGTAAAGAAAAGAAAAAGAAAAAAAAGAAAGAAAGAAAGTGAGAGAGAGAGAGAGAGAGATAGAGAGAGCGCGCGAGAAAAGAAAAAATGAAAATCACAGTTTCATAAGTTTCGGCCAGAAGGTAACAGGTTGTGGTTGTCTCGCACACAAATCAGCCAATGATAATTATGAATTGCATTTCAGGTAGTACACGGGAGGAGAAGGGAGCATGCCTAGGAGGAAGGATTCTCAGGAAGTGGAGAAGAAGCCGAAAGAGAGGGAAGCTACTGGTGAAGCGGTGCCAC